AAGGGGAAAAAAAACAGGAAGTTCGCGGAACTCTTTACAACTCAATCATGTGTTGAACTCTAGAACTTACGTTTCCCCTCCATCTTTGTTACTAAGATTAAATAAAATTACATAAAATTAACTTAAAATAATGTTTCGTAATCTTTCTAGTGATGCTCTCCACATTATTTTTAATGTTTTGAGTACGAGATCGGCGTGATTTAAACAGAATTGTCGTTCGTTACCCCTGGAGATCGTAAGCAACCGATTGGAAAATGCGTATAATTCTTTAATTTTAAGGTCTATATTGAAAATTTCTATATTAAATTAATTAATTTTTAGCGTAAAAGACTTAATTAATTCGAACTGTAATGTTTTATGGGTTCCAGTCATAAAGGGCCTTCTGTATTTGTTAAGGGAAACTGTAGTAAGTTTCAAATACTAATAAGAGAACTCGACAGTTAATTTACAATTTTTTAAAGGGTCTCGATATACAATTTTCCAGATCTGTAAAATGTTCAAATTATTTCTTATTAAGGCCTTCAAATATAGGATATGTTGTGTACTTTTGAGGCAGTTTACAGTCGACCCCCTATAACACTGTTGATTTTTCCGTTTTATATGAATTCCATGTTGTACGAGTCACTTAGATTGGAGTCACTTACATGGAACAGTGTTATGGGGGGTCGACTGTATATCCTTTAGAGCCTCATATTATAGAAATCCATTAGTGAAGATCATTAATGTAATCTTATTATTGGTGAGGCTGTCTGGCTAATTGGTGGGCCTCACTAAATGCTATTTTTCTGACAAAATAGCATTTAGCATAGAAAAATAAAATAAAATAAAATAAATTTAACTAATTTTATATTAAAAGAAATTCTTAAAAAGACAATATTCTAAACACATTTTTTTAATATATTTTAACAGGTGACGACAGGAGAAAGAAGACTCGAGTCAATTAAAGAAAGATTTCAATGTAACAAAATTATCCATAAATAAAGAAATAAAAATATAATTTAAACACATAAAATTGTTGTTTTATTATTATTATTATTAAAATAAAAGAATTTAAATACCACAATTCCTTAAAGTCGTTAACACGATAACATTTCTATATATTTATACACATTCCGGTTGGAGTTAAGGGGTTAAAATGGGGGAAGAAAAGAGCATATTTATATATGCGACAATGACGTGACACTGTAAAAATCTTGCATTCAACAGGTTATAGCACAAGTAACGTCCCACCAGAACATATTTCCCAGTCTTCATTAGCTTCAATTACTTAAACGCCAAATGGCCAACATGTGTGAACCATCCCGGGGGGTGATCCATTATCCAATAAGTAGAAACCTACAGAGGAACAGTCCATTTACCGTTTAGCAATTATTTATTTACTGTGTAAGTTCAACACGGAGGATATTTGTGTGTGTATTCTTTTAATTTTAATTTTTATTTTTAATGTAAAGAGCAGCGACCCAGTCTGGACAACGTCTTTTTAATAATGCACACATACACGCGAGTCTTTTTTTTTTTAATTTTTAATTTTTATTTTTTGGTTTTTTGTTTTTGGTTATTTTTGCATCATCTCTAGACGCTGCGAGCGCCCCTTACAGTGCCTCTGTGACGTCAGCGTTCCGCCAGGTGGCGCTACTAGATCATATTTATTTTTAAACTCGAGTCCTTGAGCGCTGATGGAACCTAAAAAAAACGAAAAAAATAAATAAATAAATAAAAATAAAAAATAAAAAACAGGAGGCAAAAATCGTGTCGTCGTTCTGTATAATAAACAATGCAAAATTAATGGCTTACCCCCACGAAAACTGCCGGAAAATAGAATCGAATTTCGAATTATCGGCGAAATTCTGTGGTCCTAAAAAATCTTTTCTTAAATACCCTCATGTTTAATCGATTATCCGGTAGGTTTTTGCTAACAGACACGAAAAAGTCGAAGAGGAAGGACCCGTAATTCGCGTCCTAGCGACCATATGTCCTCCGACAGAACCCACACACCACATAATTTTGTAAACGTCACAACACCCCTCCCTTATATGACCATGAGATGCCAAATATGGTGATGATAATTGTGACGTCAGGAGGCCACAGTACTTTGCCTTAGAAGAGCAAACAACAAAAATTAAAAAAGAAAGGAGAAAAGAGTTCATCTGTATGTAAACATTACTTAAGTAAGGAGTTTTTACAGTTTTTAAACACGTAAAACTGTAAATTTTAATAAAATTTTTTAAAAAATCTCGTGTAAAGAATGTTTCTTTGACTAAAAACATTAATCTGAGGGTGTTTTAATAATCCTCGGTTCGTTGTATTTCGTACATTCTCTAGAATTTGCCCTTATAATTTCAAATTTGATCGATTTAACAGTCTCAAATCGATCGAATTAATGAAATTACAACAATAAAAATCCCTGTTAATTTCAGTAATTGAAAAATGAAATATCCTTAAATTGTAGGACAGAAAACTAGGGAAATTCCCGTAATTTTCAGGAAGTACGAAGGGAAAAAAATCCTTTAAAATAGTACAAGATTAATTATAGCAATATAATATATTCTAGATTGTTTAAAATTTCAGGATTTACAGGAAAAAAATAATAATATTCTAAGAAATCAATTTAATTTCATGATCCAAATATGGAGAATATAATTGTGAACTCGGAAGGTCGTAGAGTTTTGACCCTTTACGGTGGTTTTGAACGTAATTATAGAAAGAAAACTCTCGAAATCATGAAAAATCTGAAGGATTTTTAGCGAAAAAACACGCAATAAAATTCTAGAATTGTCTAAATTTCAGGAAGTACGAACCCTAAAAATCAACCCTTTAAAGGATTATAAATTGACGAATGGTAAGGGGAAAACCGTTGAAATTAGCTTTTGTATATGTAGAGGAGGATCCAAAAGTCAGTTAACCGCGTTTTCGAAGAATCTAGATTTATACCAAGTAATTTACGAGTGCTTTGTAATTTGCGTAACGAAAGATTTTCGTAAAGTTTGCAAGTATTTGAAGGCATAAATTTAATGTTTACAATGGTCAACTGACTTTTAGGCCACCTTGTACGTGTATAAAAACGAATGTAGATTGCGTTGCAAGAATTAAAATTTAAATATAATTTTTTCTAAATATAATATTAAAATGTTCCGTGTTATGAAAAGTAATACTTATTTATATTTATAGTGTAAGAATATATTAAATTAAAAAATTACAAAATAAAAAAAAAGTAAAAAAACTGGACGACATTACAACAAACACTCCATCATTAACGTGTCCTTCAGTAATTGGTTAAGAAATCTACAAGTTACACGAACTTAACGGTCATTCAGAAAATTCAAACTTAGTGTTTACAATACGGGAAATACTGGAGAACAAGGGCAAAATTCTTGTGTATGACGTAAAATTACAGGATTGCATGAGCATTCTAGTACACAAAGGCGACATTTTGAGGCTGGCCAAAAAAAAAATATATATATACATGACGCAGGAAGTATAGAAGTAAAGAAGTTTTGGGTTTGTTCAGGTAGCAACAAGTGGCTTTAACCGTCAGCTCATTCACCTTCGGTATTTGCTGAATTGTTTACCTGTATCTTCCCCCGCACTCTCCACCCACGCAACGACTCGAGTCAGCATTCGAACGAGTGATGGCGGCTATGGATGGTTACAGCGGTTGCTGGGGTTAAGGTGGGCACGAGATTTCACCTATCGACAAGTTCCGGCGCGAAGAAAGTTGGGAATGTATGCCACCCATAACCCATTGGATGATGATAAAGCCAATGCTAAACCCTATATTTAGTTACAGCGTCCAATCGACGATCGGGCGCCAGAAATAGGATCCTATGGCTGCAAATAACAACCAGTCAGTGTTATATTCGGAAAATTGGAATTGGATACACACGCACACAGAAATGGTCGACTAGTGTCTTAACAGATGTACCAGTGAAAGGCGGTAAACAGGGGGAAGAAGGTAGAAGCGGGAAGATGTCTCGTTTCCAGCAGCCAGGTAGGTACGACACAACACGATTCTGTTTGATTATCTAGGCCAAGGCTTAAACCTGTCGTGGCATGCGGTCTGCAAAGGCACCTGCGCTGCTTTTACTTGCCTTGTTTGTCTATCGACGTAGACTGACTGGTGCGACACCTTCTCGGCTCCTCCCCTTTTCACAGTAATCGATTCGCCCGCGACGCCATGTTTACGTGACGTAACGGGACTGTTGTTATTACACACCGCAGGGTCGAGAGGTCACGTTTAAGGACGCCGTAAACATACAAAAAAATCGCCTGTAGCAACGCCTAGATTCTCGTACCGTTAATACACGACGACACACACACTTATTTGGTACCCTAATTCCAACTTTTGTTACTAAAATAAACAAATTCTCACCGTTTTAAAATAGAATCTCCTTTGGCTAAGCTCCTTTTAGAACTAACACCAGACAAAATAGTTACATTACGTCACGTTCGACCAATCATAAAACGTGTTAGTTGCGTACGTATTGTTTACAAATGATGCGAAGCTTCCTCACGAACGAGTGGGTGATGTCATGGGCGAGGTTAGTGACGTGTAGTGACGTCAGAGGAATACGTAAAATTTCGTAGTAAACGAAGCGAAAGTAAAAATTATTGACATTGACCGTGTACTGATCTAACTCCTTCCGTAATTGTTTACATTTTTTTCTCTTCCCTCGTCTCAAAATTTCTAGTATTTCCCTCCGTCTTAATTGCTTTCTTTCGCGTGTATACGAATTTTATTTGGTTTAACTCAACGGGTATCGATTAAAAGCTATAGAAATGTCTAGAACAGTCGATAAAGACAATTGAATTACTACGATAATTATTTAAACGGTACTAAAATCATTTCTAAAAGAATTGCAGATAAGCTCTAGAATACGAATTTTTTTTCTAGAATTCGATTCTAGAAAAAAAATTCTAGAATCGAATTAATAAATCGGTTATAATCTGTTTTAAAAAACCGAAATTTACATAAAACTTCTAGAATTTGAGTTCTAGAATTCTAGAAAAGTTCTAGAATTCGAAATTTAAAAACACGTCACAGAAAAACTGGAACATCATCAATAGACATTTATAGATTTAAAAAGAAAAAAACACAATTCTGTATCTCTAACTTGTAGTGTTTCCTTATGTAAAACTTCATCTAGAAGTATTAATTATAAACAAAACAAGTATTGTTTATTATTAATTGAAAAAACATTGCTGTCATTTTATCAGTAAGACTTTATCTGATAAGAGAACGATAACACTGTAACTTGTTGATCTTGGGGTTTCTCCAAGGGAACGAGTTTAGAATTTATAACCAAAACAGAAGATTTGTTTATAAATACTCCCCCCTTTGACCTCAAAAATGGGCAGTTGTTCAACTCGCGAACAGACGGTAGAACACATGGAAAACAGAAGAAACTATACGAATTAATATATAAAAAAATAGAAGAAATTGACCCACTTTAGGGTGTCCTTGGTGTGTTCGGAATTAAAACAAAACGATCCGGTTGGGATGGTTTGAAAATCGTAAAGAAGACCCCTCTCGATCTTGTTTGTAAACCGCTTTCGTAACTATAGAAGAATGTTGTGGAGCTTCGTCACGTATACAAAAAAGGGCATGTTCGGATGACGAAAACAAGCCGAACATGTCTCGGTAGTTGTCGTTGGCGAAAAGGATACGACGCGCATTCCTCCGAATGACGTCAAAAGCCGACGTAAGGAGTTCGGACGAGATCGGCTCGGCTCGTTGACCATATATGGAAAACTTACGTCGCCTACCGAGAATTATTATTCATGACGTATGGCGTGTATGTGTCGTCTTGTAAGTGTTAAAACTAAGGAACGGCGGCTCCGAAAGACATTGTTTGGAACGTGGAGAGCGTAAGAGGGCATAAGACGAGTTCGGAAACGTTTTCCCTTACGAAACGGCAAAACAGTAACGTGAAAAGAAACAAAATAGCACGTACGGAGATTGAATGAACGGCCATCGTGACGTAGGAGCTTTACGTCAATCGGAATCGTCAACGGGTAGGAGGAGCCTTCGCTCGCTATTGGCCGATACAAGTTCGTACTTGCCAAATAAGGAAGCGCATAGTAGTACAATCCATTCACAAAACAGACGTATAAAGAGATAGGCGTTCATTCATTCGAGTCTATCGTATAGAGACAGGTGATCCGAAGTGAGTGTTCGTTAAGGTGCTACTGTTTACCCTCGTGATACGAAACACGGTGTCTACTCAATCAAGAGATACGCGGTCTGTCGAAGACCGCCTTGACAAATCGACAACGAAACAATCTAGGAGCGTTACAATGATTATGGACGGTCTTGATACCTTGTCTCAAGTCGCGTTAAGTGATCAGCATTATTGTCTAAGTTTCGATACTTACAAAACGGAAGATATGGACATCAATATCAGTGTCGACCCCGTTATAGAAGAGTTATCTACCACGTCCACGGAAGTCACCAGAAGCTCTGTTGATAATCTGTGTCCTCCTCCTGTCATGGGATGCGACTGTGGGGATGACACACTCAACACTCCCGTCTCGACTTCTATCGATAGTAGTGCTTTTCTCTATACTGAGGTCACCATACCTGACCCCGTACCGATCACAGGTGAGTCTTTTCCTACCTTTATACGTTTTTCGTGTGTTTTTTTTCCCGTTCGTCGAGAACACCGTTAGACACGGCGTCGGAGGGGTGCCGATCGATTTACTCCATGTCCGAATTCTTAATTGACCTTTCAAGGTCGGAATTCCGCCATATTGTTTGGTCCGTTTTAGCGATTTTGTTTGTTTGTTTTGTTTTTTAACTTAGTCTACGACTTAATTGACACGAGACGGGCCGTTAATTAGCCTCGTGCCGCGTCTGGCGCCTCCCCGCGCGCGATTCGGCTTTGGAAATTGACAAATTTCGTCAATTACACGCGATTTCGTTTTCTATAATCCTTTTAGCCGAAGGGACATTTTTCGCTCGTGTGGAATGACGTCAACGCCGATGACGTCAGGCAGACGTAAACAGAAGAGATAGCTCTTCCAGAAAACGAAAACGAGGCTGGCCGAGTCGATTCGACACGTCCGAGGGGAGGAGAAAAAATACACAACGCTTAGAGAAATTGATAGTTACGTAATGAGTACTCGTACTGGGACGGGAAGTTGTGTGTTCCTCGGATAACGGGTGTTGTTCCGTGACGTCAACACAACAAACGATAAGATTCCGAACCGACGACGTAAACAACGCAGAATTTGATTGACGTAACTGATGATGTTTGTTCTGACGTCAACGGCGCAGAAATGTTTTACGTCATGGCAATAACTGACTCACGCTTCGAAAACGCTAGCAAAGTAGGGTGATAGCATTTATTATTTGTCGATTAATGTTTTTTAAATTGTTTGAATATACTATAAGAAAGGAATGCTTAGTTCCCAAGCCAACGCACTGACCCAACAAGGGGAGTCATTATAGAGGGTTAACTATCCCGTCTCGCGACCAATGGCTGACATGTTCTACTTCTCTTATCGTCGTATAAAAGGTAGAAAGGACATTAGTTTCTTGTCGAGAATGACTATGAGACGCCGCTATCACGGTCGGCCCCGCCAAACTTTCCCCTGGTGGCCTTTGCACCCGTATAGAAAGGCGTATACGCGCGGTTAGTTTAGTTTAAATTTATCTTCTCGTGTTATACCGAGAACTAAAACGTCATTTTTGTTTCTCTTTCAGCAGAGGCATCTGTCATGTCACCGGATAATAAAGAGAGCAACATATATCCCTGTTCCAGTCCCCAATCCACCGCTACGACTCAGAGGATCAGTTATAGAGGCACCTTTACTACAACCTCGGCACCTATCGACATTCCAGAAGGACCCGCATCGGCTTGGCTCTGTTCTGACAAGACTTCGACCATTCTGCCATTTTTCAACATTCTAGGAGGGCACTCCAGCTCATCAATCACCTCGGCAGTGGCTCAAATTCCAAGCCCTCCCGAAATGACTTCACCACCTCCGAGACAATCACCCGCTCCTTCTCACTTTTCATCTTCTCCCACACCCAGCCCGTTCGACGTTACCGCCGATACTACCGGAAGGGAGACGTATACCACCCTGGAAAGTCCTCAACAATCAGAACAAGATGACATTCTGCACTCGTACAGCTCGTCTTACGACCCTTCCGAGAGTAGCTTCGACGTCAAACAACCGTACGACACTCCGGTTGTTTCGTCCGCCGAAGCTCTCGTGGCTGCTACGTCATCAATTCTCAACCCCGTGGCCGACGACATCGGCTTTCAAAGAGGTCTACAATGGCCAGGGTTTACAGATTACGTTCAGCTGGCTCCGGCCAGCACATCTATGCCTATCGTCCCCAAACAAGAGCCGATTAGCGAGGAACTTTATACCTCAACGCAACAAGCTTCACTCGCGGACTATAATCCCTCCACCAGCAAAGGACACGAGATTTTGAATCAGGCCTATCAGGCCAGCTCCGTTCCGCTCAAACTTTTGCCAATCAGGCCGAGGAAATACCCAAATAGGCCTAGTAAGACACCCGTGCACGAAAGACCATACGCTTGCCCCGTCGAGGGTTGTGACAGAAGGTTCTCGAGAAGCGACGAGTTGACACGTCACATAAGGATCCATACCGGACAGAAACCCTTCCAGTGTCGTATTTGCATGCGCTCCTTTAGCCGCAGTGATCACTTGACAACTCACATTCGCACCCATACGGGAGAGAAACCCTTTTCTTGCGACACTTGCGGAAGGAAATTTGCACGCAGCGACGAGAAAAAACGTCATGCCAAGGTGCACTTGAAGCAAAAGTCAAAAAAGGAAACTCGGCAGACTTCACCCGAGTTACCCTCACGCACCGAGATTAATTTGGATCCGGGTGCATCCTTATCCATTAACGTCACCATAAGTGACCTCCATTGAACGTACGCGCAAAGAAGAGCGTATTGTTATTGTTCAGCATGGCGGTCCAGGCTGAATAAATGCCTGGGCCGTGAGGCTTTCGTGCCTCAAAACGCTAAATTAGGCGGGATTCCGGCCGCGTTGCAAAGACGCTAAGGAGAGAAGTTCGACGGTACGCAATGGTGAGCAGGAGACGGATGACATATATTTTTTCTTTTTTGCCTTCGCTCAAAGCCTAAATCCCGTAGATGGACGAACAGAAGGAGGAGAAGGCAAACTTAGAGATCAAATCTGTATTTTTCTATTTTGTATATCCTCAAAGGAAAGTAAAAATATGAGATAAGAAAAAGTTAGTTCCCCTCTCCTTCAAAGAACTCGTCCATAAAAAAAAAATGGCTTCTAAATGATTTACAAAAGAGACACAGATGTTTCCTTTGGTGTTATGTTTTGCTGTCGTCTATAAAATTGTTTTTTTGTTGTTAAAAAATTTTAAATGTTAAAAACCAGAAATCTGGTATTGTGATTGGTGCCTGTTGTATATTTAGCACTGGTTGTCCAGTGTGTACGATGCCTTTTCTCTTCTCAATTCTCGCACAATCAAAACAAGATACAAAAAAAAAACAAAAAAATGGATAAATCAACTTTATATCGTGGCTTACAGATACTTTTTTGTTTTGTTTTTTCCCATTAATTCTCATTGAAGTAACTGAATGCAACTATCTTCATCATCAAGCATTATTTGTGTTGTTATTGTTGTAAAATCGTGTGTTGTTATGTTATATATATAAAAAAAGTCTGTTAATTGTTCTTTTAACTCGTCTCATTGTTTGTTTTAACATTTTATTTTTGATCTATTCTTGAATGTTAACTTTGAATCATTAAAAATAATTATATATATATATATATATAAATGTAAAANATTGTGTTTAGAGGTAACAGATAGGCTAATAAATTATGAAAGATTTTAATCAAGAAAAATCTACTTAAGTAATGTTTAACAAGCATTATATTTTAAATAATTTCTTTAAAAAATAACAGGTAGAAACAACTTGTTTCACTGTTGATTTTGAACATTTTCTAGTTAATATCAACGTCAACACAGGACGATTAACATCTGCAGCTGGTGGATGACGTCAAAATAACGTCTAGTGACACTTGGGACACGTGATGACGTTCGAAAGACGTCATAGCGAACACTCTCTCTCTCTTATAGCGCATGAGCGAGAGCGGTTAGTCCGAATGTAGTGAGTGCAATTAAATTTATTTTGTGCCAACACTTTAAACATTATTTTTTTTAATCTAAATTAAATTAATTACGATTAATTTCTGATTAGTTCTAGTTTCTACAACACCCGAAATTACCGTAGAAAAAAAAAACGTGTAACGTAATTTATTAACAATTATCGATTTGTAATCGATCAAACGGAGGGGGAGGGCTATTTTATGTATTGCAAATCGATTTTTCTTTTTTTGATACAAGACGTTGACGCAATTAACCGCGGGAAGGGACCACATGACGAGTGGCTTTTTTGTGGATGAACAAAGCGGCAAGTGTTGCCAACCCGAGCATTATTATATATATATGAATTATATTGTATTTATATACAAGGCTTTTACATATATATATATATATATATACGAAAATAAACGTAAATTTTTCAATATATGTAAAATATATTTGATATAATTCGGTTAGAAAATCCAATTTACTGTTAAGTAAAAACATTTCTTAGAGAAAATAAGTAACTTAGCAACCGTGTAAACAGATTAAAGCAACTGGCAACACTCTTACGCAGCTTTTTCGATATCCAAAAGCTTGCAAAGTATTGGCAAATGTAATTAAAAATTTTGCATGGGAAAATTAAAGTAGAATCAAATAGAAATTATTATTTTAAGATGATTAAACAAAAGAAAAAAATATATATATTATCTGTTAGCTTCTCTCCAGAATAAATATATCTACATCACCGTGAAAGAACGAATAGATAAAGGTGAGTACGTTGAACTCCCTTTCATAGAAATCTGTTGAGATGTATGTGATGGATAATTAAAAGCTTATAATTAAACCAAACGTTCTATAATTATTAATGAATTTTAATTATTTAGCATTTTCATTTACCTGGATTTAATTATATTTCTTTCGATATTTTACTGCAAATAAATTAATAATTAATTTTTTAATTTATTTTATAAATATTATTAACGTAAAATAAGTAATAAAAATGTTTTAAAATGTATTTAAAACAAGCGCTTATATAGACTGTGCTTCCATCTATTGAATAAAATTAAAGTTATTAATTGAAATATTAAAAAATTTATAGTTTTGTAATAATAAAAATTATTTAATAATTTATAACTTATTTAACTTTAATTTTATTCCGAAATTAGAATTATTTAGTTTTGAGATTTAATCGATTAGTTTTAATTGATATTTAATAATTTAAGTTAGTGCTGCCATCTCGTGAGATATAAAAATATTAAAAAAAAACTAATTTAAACATTTTTGTTTTATTTATTTAACAGCATTTTAACAGGTTATTAACCTATTAATTAATCTACGATTAAAAAAACATATTTTTACTATTAAAAAAACTAAAAATATTTTTCTTTTTTAAATATCCACCTACGTGAAATTTCTAATCCTAGAACTTTTTATATATTTAAAATTACTGAAGATTAGTTCAAAGGATTAAAAGTAAAATTACTATTGTAGTTTATATATTATTTAAATTTTCATTTTTAAATTATTTTTTTTTTTTAAATTTCCTTTCTTTGTTTACCATTCAACAAAATTCTATTATTATTATTGGCTTAAAAGTAATAATTTTGTATCATTTTTTAGGGCTTTGAACTTGACTTTTTTTATGTAAAAATGTAGCTTAAGAAGGTAAAATTTTTATATTTTCTTTATTTTTCTTAATACGGAGGTGGATGTGAAAGAGGAAAAGACTCTAGGGTATGAAAAAAGTCAACAATTTGATTGATTGAACAGGATTCTTCTATGCTTCCTATATGATTACATTCAAAATTTTCAATTCGATAAGCCTATATATATATATATATATATATTTCTCATGGCAGTTGCCTGAAGATACTAGTTACGTTATTGTAATATATAATCCTACTATAAATCAGAAGAAGATATATTTAACCTATTTTTTACTTTATACAAAAACTTGATAGCGAATTTAAATTTAAATAAATGATTAAATTAAAAGAACGAGCAAAAAAGTGAACGGTGATAAACGTTTATTTTCAAATATTTGAAATTTTAAATCGCGTAGAAGTGACGTAATTCTATAAGAAATGGCGTACTTTTGAATAGAGAGGTTGCGGCCGAAGTT